GACTGCAGTTTGTGGGCAATAAATGGATTTTAAACTATTTCTTCCTTTAATTGATCTCAGTTTTTAGAGGTATTTTGCCCCAGGATTTCCTCTCCCCGGACTTAAAATCATCTAACATACATATAACCAATAAAAAATATGGGAATTTATATAAGAAAGCTTTATATTTAAACTTGATACACATTTTAAGATGATATGTAAGACACTAAGATTTGTGCACTTAATTGTATGTACTTTAATTTGAAAAAACACAACAGAAACAAAAAACAATGTGTGAGACGATTCTCAAATTACATTTCAAATACAATCGTTGGACATCACAATCCCAACAATTTGAGGAACATACCCATAAAGGAGATGCGTGCCTTGCATACTCCTAGTGTTGTGAGACCACATTACTTCAGTGTTTAACAATTACATCAAACCTTTTGTGATTGGAAAACTATGTTTTAAACACTTTACATCTTAACAGATTGTTACCCACGTAGAGATGTTCTGTTGGTTTTAAGTATATTTAAGGAAGTTAGTTGAGGGTTTTGGGTTGACATGTTAACACATTGAAACTTTTCCAATTTAGAACGTGGGAAATAGATTCCTGGTCACTTTTCATACAACATCAATTTTCAGAAATAGATTACTGAAGTTAAGTGAGAGATGATACCTTTATTGTATTTATGGTGTTTCTGTCTGTATCCATGTATGCAGTTGGACTCCAATTTCACTTTCTCTTACTTGCCTTGTAGGGTTTCAGTATCAAGGTTATTCTGGTCTCAAAATGAGCTGGGTACGGTTTCCTCTTTTTTTCATTCACTTCAAGAGTTTGCCTAACATTGAAATGGTAGATTGCCTGAAAAGTTTCATAGAACTGTCATATATAACTGCACAGACCTGGTGTTTTCTTAGTGGAAAAATTTTTCAATTAGACTTCTTTAGTGGTATAATACTGCTGAGGATTTAAATTCCTTCTAGAATATGTTTCCATAAAAACTTGTAAGATTTTGCCATTTCTTCTAAGTTTTCAAATTTATCACTTGCTCATAAACTCTTTTTACCCTCTGCTATAATTGCAAGTTATATTCCCTTTAATTCTTAAAATTATTTGTGCTTTCCTTTTTCTTGTTCAATATCACCAGAGATTTCTGTTTCATTAGTCTTTTCTAAGAGCTTTTGGCTTTGTTTAGCTTCTCTGTATTTTTATATTCTATGTCATTTACTTCTCTTATCTTTACTATTTCTTTCATTCTTCCTTCAAGAATTTCTCTTTCATTCTTATTCTGTTTTCTCCCCAAATTCTTAGATTATCACTTTTAGTCTTTCTTTTTTCTCTATGAAACTTCCAAGTAAACTTTAGGAAATTTATAGTGTACATAGAGTAATTATCATTCAGTTCTATTTTAAAACTGTCAGTACTCCGTCCTTCTTTGAACCATAAATTATTTGTAATACTATTTGTTTTGATTTCCAAACACAGGGATTTTCTAAATTGTTTTACTGTCCTTTCAGCTTCATTTGCACTGGGATAATATTCTGCATGATTTCATTTATATAAAACATAAGAATTGCTTTGTGGACCAGGTACATGGTCAATTTTTATGTGTTCCAGGTATTCTTTAAATAATCTGTATTATATATTTGTTGGGGCAGTATTCTGTATTTGTCCCTCTGGTCAAGTTTGTTAATGACATTAATAAAATCTTCTATATCCATACTTATTTTACCTGTTTTTTTTTTTCCTATCAATTAAGAGGAAATGTATTAAAATACCCCATTTTGATTATGGACTTATCTACTTCTTCCTTGTGATTCTACTTGTCCTTTACATATTCTGAAGCTTTTATTAAGCACACACAGTTGAGACTTTTTCCCTTAAGGAAGAGTGTCTTACCATTATAGAGTAACCCTCTTCTTCCTAATACTGTTTTCCTTTTTCCTTGTAAAGCCTACTTGACTGATATTAACACAACTACACCAGCTTCCTTTCAGTTAGTACTCATCTAATACATCTTTTTCCATCAATAACAGTGAATCTATCTGTGCCCTAAAAGTTCTGGGTGTGTCTTTTATAGGTAGCTTGTAGCAAGATATTTTTCAAGTTCTCTCAGCCCATTTATGAGAGGTAAGATCAGCCCATTTATGATTATTGCAATTGCTGATGGATATTTTTTTTACTATTTTTTTCACATTATTCTACTTTTCCCTCCTGTTTATTGCCATCTTTTGGACTGACTGAATTACTTCTCATTATTCTAGTTTCTTGTTCTACTGAAGAAACCATTTCTTTTACTTCTAAACCATTCTTCAGTGGTTACCCTTGAAATTCTAACTTTAAATCTTAGGTTGCTTTGAGATCTTCTTACCTTTGGTGTTCTGTAGTTTCAATATGAGATATCTAGGTATAGACAATAATTTCTCTTGCTTATGGTAGTTTTTGGATCTAAGTATTTACATAGCTCATTTCTGGAAAATTCTCAGCCATTTATCTTTTCCTACATTTTCTTTCCCTCATTCTTTCTCTCTAGAATGTTTATGAGATATATAAAGTTGACCCATATGAAACTGTAATTTTACATAGCAAAATTGGTCCAATTTTGGTAATCTTGCTTGTTTCAACCTAAAGAGCCTTCTATAACTAATCTGTGACTTCCTCTTTCATATTTTCCATTTTCTTAACTCAAACATCCCTTTTTTTTTTGGTAACTAACTTTCTCTTCCACTTCATTACATTCTGTTAGGCATACACACACACACTGGCTGTTAAGTACATCCTTTGGGTTTCTAATTTTAAAGATGATTTTAAAGTCATGTTTGAGTCTTATTCCTTACTCATTTTTTAATCTGTATTACTTCACCTCTTTAGAAGACTGTATACACCTATTCAATAGTCTACATCCAACAGTGTGGTCTAAATCTTTGTGGGTCTAAATCTTTCTCTTGGGTCTGGTGACTCTCAAAAGTCTGGAAATATGTATTTTGTGTGTTTGCTGTTTTTGGAGGAGGTGGTGCAGAATTAATCTGTATGAATCTTGAGCGTAGGTTTACATTAATTCCATCCATTTAGAATTTGTGTCTCTGTTGGGTATCCAAGAACTCGTCACCTGAAGCCAGCTCATTTCTGGAAAATTCTCAGCCATTTATCTTTTCCTACATTTTCTTTCCCTCATTCTTTCTCTCTAGAATGTTTATGAGATATATAAAGTTGACCCATATGAAACTGTAATTTTACATAGCAAAATTGGTCCAATTTTGGTAATCTTGCTTGTTTCAACCTAAAGAGCCTTCTATAACTAATCTGTGACTTCCTCTTTCATATTTTCCATTTTCTTAACTCAAACATCCCTTTTTTTTTTGGTAACTAACTTTCTCTTCCACTTCATTACATTCTGTTAGGCATACACACACACACTGGCTGTTAAGTACATCCTTTGGGTTTCTAATTTTAAAGATGATTTTAAAGTCATGTTTGAGTCTTATTCCTTACTCATTTTTTAATCTGTATTACTTCACCTCTTTAGAAGACTGTATACACCTATTCAATAGTCTACATCCAACAGTGTGGTATAAATCTTTGTGGGTCTAAATCTTTCTCTTGGGTCTGGTGACTCTCAAAAGTCTGGAAATATGTATTTTGTGTGTTTGCTGTTTTTGGAGGAGGTGGTGCAGAATTAATCTGTATGAATCTTGAGCGTAGGTTTACATTAATTCCATCCATTTAGAATTTGTGTCTCTGTTGGGTATCCAAGAACTCGTCACCTGAAGCCCTGTCATTTCTTCACTCAGTGGATCATCAGCCACATAGCATGTAGAAGTCAGAGCCCTGCACTCAGTGAGGCCAAGGTCATGAATAAATCCAAAAAAGGTGACTGTATTTATTCCAAGTTGTATGAAGACAGGTCTCCCACTATCACCTCTGCCAATAGGTAGCTTTCCTTTCTTCTTTTTTCTCTATCTTACCCTTTCACAGGGATGTAGGCACTTCAAAGACCCAAGAGCTTCATGCATGTGTCTCTGACTGAGTCCCCTTAGACAGTCTAGCCCCACAAGCTTTTGTTTTAGTATTTGACACCAGCTTCCATGCTTTTTTTCATCCACTCTGATTTCATTTCCTTGTTCATTTTTTTTAACCCTTTAACACCTACATTAATTTTTGTGAGCCTAATACATTAAGAATGTCTTAAAAAAAAGCTCTATCGAACACCTAAGTGTTTCATCACTACAGGGCTTTTCAAAGTATCTAGTCTGTCTTAGTGACAGAAATCTACATTCACCCCTTTTCAGTAATTTCTAAGAGAAATGTTAATGTCTAAATTTCATCATATATATGACTTTGTTCTATAAAATTATTAGTTTCACTAATTTAGGTAACGGCAAAGAAAGCCTAATTAAAATTAATTAAAAGTCAGAACCACAGAAGTACTTTTAGAAAAAAGTTTGACATCAGTAGCAGTGAGTATTGATACTGGCTAATAAGCTTTAAGTACATGAGCCAAATAATTTCAATTACAAGTCACTTTTATTCACTATACATTTTACACATAGAAGAAAACAGTTTGTTCTCCTAAATGAAGTGAGGATGACACCTGAAATGTTTACATTTATTTGCTAAACAAGTTAATGTTTTTAGGTAGGCTGACCAACATTAAGATTCTGCCCAAATAATAAGGAATTCTTAAATAGTGGGTAGAAAGAAAGTACACCTTATAATTTACATATACTACAAAGGCATCAGACTCAGATTCAAAGCATTATACCTAAATGAACCAAATATTTACCTGTGACTTGAAAATGGAAGCCACAAACTCTATAAGCCTACCTAAGCTAAATTACTTAACTGAGAAATTATGGAAATGTGATTTAGGGAGTTTCATAATCAACTACTAAATTAATTACGGATATTCTGCAAAACATTTTAATGCAACTACTAATTAAATTTCTTGAAAACTAGCGTTGAACATTGCAAAAAGACATTTTTCCCACAAGTATAAGATTAGTCAATTCTTTACCTCTCCAGCACTTGCACATTCCTTGGCTCTTCTGTGAAGTGCAGCCCATGTATCTTCATACCTAAGAAAAGCAAAAAATTATTCAAAATGCATGCCACACACTAAACATATACTACCTAAAGGTGTATATGGAACATTCTATGGTGCCAGAAAGGAAAAGCTCAAAAATAATGGGGACATGTTGTAAGGACCTGAAAGTCAACTTGAAGGGGCTTCCAAGGGCCAAATCAGGAACAATTTGAGCAACAAAATAAATAATTGTAACAATGGATCGCAACTCTAAGAATAAAACATTGATGAGTTCATGTGATTTAAATAAATAACAAATAAATGGAGAAAGGAAAAATTCTTCCTTACAATTCCAATTAATAATTACAGAAAAAATAAGAAAAGTATAAAATCACCATTTGATAAGCACAACAATAATTGTTTCAGGCCAAGACTTCTAATGATGATAAAATTAACAGGTGAGGAGTAGGATATTTACATAGTCTCAAAGAATCTCCCCACAGGATACTCATAAATTTAGAAAGGGGAAATAGTATTAACAATGGAACAACCAGGCAGACACTTCCTGAATCAAGTAGTCAATAGTCCTGAGACATATCAAAGTCATGTGCCTGATGATATGATATGCTAGGAAGTACACATCACCCTCTGGTATTCTACTGAGGGACCTTTTTTTTTTTTTTTTTTTTTTTTTTT